ATGTCAGACTATTAATCGCCACGACGAATTTCGTGTGTTTAGTTTTGAAGCTTAATTATGTACATGAATAATATTGTAACTGTGTTGGAAAAGCACAACAAATATTTAGAGAATAGCTGTAGGGAACATTGATAGTTGTGTTGGTGCAGTCTCCAGTTCACTCATCAGAATGCTGACGTTCAGTAACCTCTTTTGTATGACCTAGAATGCCTCTTGTTACTGTTTTTCGATGATGTTACCCTCTCTGAAGTAGTTAAAGTAACTGTGAAGTTTTCATTGTCCTTGTGAGTAACATGCATACTATCTACTTTTAGTATTAGTAGGATTTCGCGCTTAAACGAACAGGAATCATCAGATTGGATAAAGTGTGTTTCACCTTGACCTAGGTATCCGAATAGTTTAACCATTTTTTGTAAGTGTTGGCTTTGCTCCTCAAAAGGCATTACCGTCGAAAACAGAAATCCTTGTGGTAAGGTAAGTTGTGACATTTTTAGGGTCGACCTTTTCTAACCTCTTCCTTCCTTGTGAGAAGGCAGCATCACTGTAGATGCTGGTTTTCAGAGTGAAGCACCTCACTGTTGTCACACCTCTCTGCAGTCAACAGAATGACTTCGCCCTCAAACCTTAAGTTACTGCTTTCAGTCTTACTTTTCTCCAGTCGACCTGCCTGACATGTTAGGACATAAATGAACATACGTTCCAACGTTCCAACCAATGTAGCTTGGTTAGGTCATCACGATAAGCAAGCTCGACCATCAGGTCAAGGGAGCAGCTACGGTCAGCTAAACCAAGACATGGTACATATCAATGAATCCACTGACAATTGGAATCAGTCTTGTTAGTAGGTGTAGAATACCTGGTTGGGGTCGGGTCCACCAGTTGATAGTAACCGTTGGTTAGATACCTTAAATTATATCGCTCAAATTGTTGTCATTGGCGCAGGTGCATGTACGTAAGTACGAAGCTCTACGTTGTAGCTGACCGACTGACTGAGGAAGTGACAATTCTAGGCAGATTAACAAATAGAAACTTCACAGTAATGAACGATCTAAATGAGAGAACATCATTGACAGCATAAATCTTCTTCATCATTAGAAAAGACTTTAGTGGCTTGTACGGAATTTGAAGTAAAGCTCACAATTCTATTGGCTAGAGACTTGATTCCAGTTGGGCGAATGATCGAGTCTGATATGTTTATTCATTCGTCTAACGCACTGAGTTCGATAGCTTCTCTGTCGACGTAGCTATTCACGCTGCCTTATGCTCGAAGTACGGAATCCTCGGTAATCTTCGGTTATTTGCAGACCATCACGTCAGGTTCACCAAATGTTACGAGTTGAGACAATATTATGCCAATGGCCAAGTTACATCCCCCAACACCCATATATCAGAAGAACAGTTGTGATTGGAGGTTAATATATATATATATATATATATATATATATATATATTGGCAATCTCGCGGTGTCAAAATCATACCATGATCGTGCCAAAGTTCACAGACAAGTTTACTCTGAGTGTACGTGAGCAAGCTCAAGGTCATAATAAACGGAAGATGTGTACTCTTGATACAATCAAACAAACAGGTACAGTCAAACAATCACTGGTACAGTTTGTTACAATAATAAATGTTTCTATTACACCGATCGCGTTCTCTTCATACAACTAGCTCACTACAAGACAATCGTTTTTCTAAAGAATGTGTATTCTATTTATACTGCTGGTAGACTTGGGTCAATAGTTAAATGATTTCTAAGAGCATTTTAACCATAGTTGAATTTGTTTGGACAGTGTGAATTCTAATGTATTACTAGCACACTAGATACTTGCTTATTATGTATATATATATATATATGTAATGAATAGTATGTGACCGGTTAATAAGTTCACAGAAGGTTGTAAATGTGTGAGCGAAATTTCACTGCACAATATTGATTGAATAATAAATACGAGTGTTTCATTATACTTATGAAACTGTGAAAGAGACAGACTACTGTAAGATGAAATATATATTCTCAAAGATTGTATAGTAAAGCATTATTTAGAATGTAGGGTGGAAATTACGTTAAAGGTTTGTGAAATATCTGAAAGGCGTTAGTTAACAATTACCAATGTATAACAAGTATTTCTAAACTTTCTATCTTCTCATAACGAAAGGAGTAGTTAGATGAGGTCGATCCTTTGAATAAGACGCCTAATTTTTATCCCATGTCTTCAATAAAACGATTAAATAGTATGGAGCTAATGTGGTGCGCGCTACTTATAAGTAGTATATGACGCGAGTGTAAACGTAATAATGTCTGGCAGCATAACATGAGGGAAGATCAAGAAAGGAAGAAGAGTGGGAACACAATGGAATTTGTATGAAACGCATGAATAGTGAGTGAAATGTCAGACAATGGATTGATGATGGATTGAAGATTTGCGAATTAACTGTTTACGATATGGTTTTCCTATTTTACTGAGTAACTCTGTAATTTTCGTTAAATACAATTCGGTTGGCCTCACCTGTGTTCTCTTTCATTACATTTGGTGTCGCTGCCTGCACGAAGGAAGGAGCTCCCGTGGCCGAAGGAGTTTGGGGACGGAGATTTGCGGAGCTTCCTGGGGGAGTTTGAGGCCGTGGTGGGGCTGGTGGGTGTGAAGGAGCCCGGAGCGGAGTTGGTGGTGCTGTGGACGCTGCGGGGAGGTGAGGCGAAGGCTGTATTCGACAGCTTGGACGGTGTCGCCGGGAAGCTAATACTTCCCAAACTAATTGTTTAGTATCTGAAATATTATTGTCAGCACATCATGAGAATACCATTATCATTCCATTGTTTAAAAAAAAACATTGTTTCAATAACAGAAATGCAAAAGTATGCATATATGTTTATTGTTCATGCCTAATTGATACAGAAAGCACTTACTGCTGATCTTGTTCAAAATGAAAATGAAAACTTCACGATTGAAATATATCATCTCCAGCGTAGAAGAAAGAAAGCAACAAAATAATTAAAGCCATCCACTTGAGATGAAAAAGAAATCTTTTTCATTTTGTAAAACTCTCATCTAACTAATTGTTCAATATTGATTTAATTGTTGTACCGCGCCAATATATCATGCAAATGAAGTACTGGAAATCATTTGTAAATTGGTTGAATGATTTTTCGAAGAATTGTATTGGTTGAGTTGAGTTGAGTTGAGTATGTTCATGATGAAGTATGATGTTCAGTTATTTTCCAGTACTTATTTTATTCTGTTGACAACAATGGAGAAGATTTGTATTTCAAGTGAATGCTTTTCTCTGCGCTGGATATTTCAATCGTAAAGTTTTCATATATGAATATATAAATGTATATGTATAATTACATTCGCAGCGTGTGCACCTTCTCTGTTTTCAATTGGTTTTTTGTGTAGCGTTTAGATTAGAAATTTGTGGGCACTCTGTCGTCACATCTTCGACTGTTAGAGATGCATGTTGTTCCATTCGACCTAAAATACAAGTAGACATTTTAGAATCTGGATGGGAATTGCAAAGCACAAGAAATAATAAAACATTTTCTTTTGGTCTTGTGTTAGTGTACTTACATTTAAACTATCACAAGTTCGGTTCAGATTACCAGTGTAAGTGAGAAAACGATCCGTGAGTTGTTCGGATACTTTCAGCAAGTGTGAAGTATGTTGAATAAGGATGATTGTTTATTGGAAATCTTCTGAAGGATCGAATACTAGGTTACTAGTATTCGATCATAGATGTTTAAGAAGCATTGCTCGTATATCGTGGGATAACCGAGTAAGCAATGCTGTCGTTAGGAAGCGAGTACTAGGCAAGGATGGCAGATCAATAGATGAAGTATTGAAACTTCATCAGTTGAGGTGGTTGGGACATGTGTTACGTATAGCTAACCACGGACTGCCTCGACGAGCTTTCTTTTGTGGTGTAGAAGTAGGTTGGAAGAAAGCTAGGGGCGGCCAGACCAAAACATGACAGAAATCCATGAAGTCATTGACGAGTGGACTTAGCCATGTCGGTAACTGTCGACTACCTGGTTGGGGTCCGCGAGATGATAATAATCGATGGTTAGAGACATTGAATGACATGGCTCAAAATCGTTCGCAATGGCGCCAGTGCATTTACTCTTTGTGTTCTCTCAAATCCTAATCTTCTGGATTGGTCAGCACCTCTACCTTTTGTCTTTCTAACCTTATCTCACTGGATTATACTTCTTGAATAATATCTTCAAACCCTAGTCCTCTTCATTACCATTAATACATGTACTATCTTTATCACTATGGGATTTGATTTGACATTTGCGTCTCTGTGTTAATAATGTGGTATGGTAACATGAACTTATGTACATACGTACGAAGTTCTACGTTGCAACTGACTGACTAAAGGACAGTAACCGTTTCAAGCAAATAGATGTATTTGGCATTTACTAATATTCCATTATCAAAAGTTTCTACACAATAAATTCAATATAAATCACTTCTAAAAGTTACCTTTTCCTTGATCCTTTTCTTGATATTGAGTTTTTCATTTGGTTAACGAATCATTTCATTTGAATCGAATCACATCGTCTCAGCTTAGTTGGTTCGATCATGTCATAGGTGGTGGAATTCAACTCACTCACTTCTTTTTTTTAGGTTTACATTGATCAGAATGTTGTGTGGTTTATTTAGTAGAATGACAGATGAATGCATCATCATGAAAATTATTCAAATCAAAGATTACAATTTCTCTACGATCATTCATTTTGATTTACAAATGATTTCCAGTATCTCATTTCCCATCATTTTTAATCCACAAAGTGTTTTATTTTCGAAATGAATCTCAGACCATTGCTGTAGTATATATATGTATATGTATGTATATATGTTTATGGCGCTGTACAACTGAATCAGTATTGAAATCATTAGATGACAGTTTTTACAAAATGAAAAAAGATTTCTTTTTCAAAAAACTTTATTATTTATACACCTTTTGTAAATTGTATTTCATATATTATAGAACAGATAAATTATCTTGCATTTGGTCTTTCACTTTCCAATATCAACATTCGAGTAACCCATTGTGGTAAACTTGTATAACATTGTACAATTTGTTCTTTACTTGGTCCATCAATAACAAGTATACGTACTGGATTACCTTTATACATAAATAAACATTTACTTAAACGAATTTTACATCCAGTTCTTATTTCTAAACTATGCATAACATTTTTAATACTTTGAAATATTTTTAAAAATTTCATTGCATCCCATTTTGCTTGACATATAAACATGGTATAACATAAACGTTCCGTATTATCATCATCGTCACCAGTATCATTCACTTTGTTCAGTCCAGTATCATTTTCATCATTTGGTACATTTGAATCATCATCATCGTTTGTGGTTGTTGTTGTTGTTTGATCAGTTCGAAAAATTGAAACTTGATCATACGGTACTTTTGTATGTCTTTCATATTCACTATACTCTAACCATTCTATACAATTTAATAAATTTGATTTTAATACAGTAAATCCAAGTATATGTGTACTAATCAATGGCCATAAAGTTGATTTGTACAATCTACTACCTGTAGCATTAGTAGGATGTCCAGTTTTCTCATTCTCTTGATCGTTAGTTAAATTTGGATCCCATTTTACTGAATGTAATGGATCGTCATTTAAAGGAAAATGGCATCGATCTAAGCAATGTTTTTCTAAAAAAGTTACAATATCACGTTTCAGATTGTCTAATTCCTCTCCATCTTTTAATATACACTGGCATAATTCATTTGAATTCCCAGTGATAATTGAAATAAGTTTAATGATATCTTCATGAGTATGAAAATCTTTACATAATTGTACATAATGTGGTGATGCTAAAAGTTCTTCATTATTCAAATGTGGATTAATTTCTTTTAGGTTCGAACTTTTCATACAATTTCCCATTGGGTAAAAGTTATTTTCATGAATTAACGTTTCCAATTGATTACTTTTCCATTATGACGACAATTTGAACAAAATACTCGCGTATACATTCAAACATACTTATATAACTACTAATAACTAAGTAACGAATATATCTTATTTTTATTTAGAACGTAATTCAAAATGGCTGTAGTATTTTCAAGAAAATCGATCGATTTTATCGATCGCCTTACAAGCTTTGCACACACAAACTGACAGAATGAATCATGTCAGAAATGACAACACACTTATTGAAAAAAAAGACACACACACATATTCGAAAATGACACACCAGTATATAAATAAATATATATATATATTATACTGGACGAGAAAAGTTATATTTAACCTTTCTGCTAGTTGTAACGTTAGAAGCTACTGATTTGGCCAGATGATGTCGTCTGATACATCACTCAGACAATCAGGAGTGCAAAATGAAAGTTACACAATAAAAACAAACTGAATGAGATAAATAAGAAGCAGCAACTGAATAAAAGTGACATGCAGGAAATAATGTTAGTGAATTTGAATTTTGACTATAGGTGGAATTCGCAGTGGACAGTTCGTTGTGTTTAGTGGTATTGATCAGATGGATGTACTCATCCCGATGCTGATATATATTCGCTCGAGGAATATTAAAAAATGCATATGATAAGAAGAATAATCTGGTTACTGAATAATTATATTAGTTAAATACAGAACTCGAAACTACTGTACAGAAGGAGAGACTGTGTCAGTTGTGGACAAGTTTATTGTGTTTGGTGATGGGATTGTCATTCCTAATGGTGTTCGTCAATCAGTCCTGAATTATATGCCTCCTTCTCATTCCTGTATGAGTTGCATGGAATCTATTGGGTCATGCTTACGAATGCTGGTGAACTGTGGATAAAGTTATTGAAGAGATGGCTTGGTGATGTTTTTGAAGTGTGTATTGGCATGAGAACTATCCATTCAGGTGAACCTCAATCATGCCACTGTTTCTGCTTTTCACCTGTAGTCGAAATTTCAGTTGTAAATTTTTGTTATTTCATTGAAAAGAGTTATGCGAAAGGTATAGGCGGATTGTACGGAAGAAATTATACCAAAGTTCTTACGGAGTTACATTACAACACCGAGTTCAGTGACAGTGAATGAATTGTTGTCTACAGTATATATATTTGAATGGAAGGTCCAGATTGTTCTAGCTGATTTATTACAGATATAGAAGGTAGAAAGAATAAAGAAACCATTTTTCAGTGAACATAACCACCAAAAAGCCAGAATTTCTTATTCATTCGATAAAGTTTGAATGCGAGATTTCCGCGAGTAATTCAGTTGTCCATTCTATCTAATTTTTTGACCACTCAGCCGGCATTCAATGATTTCGATTTCTAACTTGAATCAACCTACTAAATTGCGTGACCTGATCTGATCTATTGTAATCGGTGGGCACTTCTTCACACCTGACTGGGTTGAACTCCATTGGTCACGATGAGGTTGTGCAAAACTATGGATTATTGATCAAAGTTAGACATTAACACCGTCTGATGCCGACTCAGTAGTCTAAAGCTTATGCATGGGTCATCACTTCCTCACAACTGGTACGGTCAGACTTCAATGGCCACAATTTCTCACTAGAATTTGACAAACTTCCTCACGAAGCTGACGACAGATTTTTATGCAACCATTACTTGAATGAAACGCAACAGTCTCCAAAATCCTATGATGACAATTATCACGAGCTCTTTCTCCTGGTGATCGACTGGATTATGAAAACGTCAACATCTGGAGGGAAGCACGGTATCAACTGGACAGTTAGGACGCAGCTGGACGACCTGGACTTCGCAGATGACTTGGCTCTTCTATCGCACACGCAACAACAAATACAAGAGAAGACGACCAGTGTAGCAGCAGCCTCTGCAGCAGTAGGTCTCAAAATACATAAAGGAAAGAGCGAAATTCTCCGATGCAACACAACATGCACCAACCAAATCACTCTTGATGGAGATGCCTTGGAGGACGTTACCACCTTTACATATCTTGGCAGCATCATCGACAATCAAGGTGGATCCGATGCAGATGTGAGGGCACGGATTGGCAAAGCGATGGCTGCATTTCTACAGTTGAAAAATATCTGGAACTCCAAACAACTTTCAACCAAAACTAAAATAAGGATTTTCAATACAAATGTCAAGACAGTTCTACTGTATGGAGCGGAAACTTGGAGAACTACCAAAGCCATCATCCAGAAGTTACAAGTGTTTATTAAAAGCTGTCTACGCAAAATACTTCGTATTCGTTGGCCAGACACCATCAGCAACAAAGTGCTGTGGGAGAGAACAAACCATATCCCAGTGGAGGAGGAAATGAGGAAGAAGCGGTGGAAGTTGATAGGACACACACTACGAAAAGCACCTAACTGCGTCACGAGACAAGCCCTCACATGGAACCCTCAAGGAAAAAGGAAAAGAGGAAGGCCAAAGAATACATTACGCCGTGAAATAGAGAAAGATATGAGAGGAATGAACAAACACTGGACAGAATTGGAGAGGGAAGCGTCGGACGGAGTTGGTTGGAGAAAACTGGTGGGCGGCCAATGCTCCATTGGGGATAACAGGCGTAAGTAAGTAAGTAAATAAATCACGAGCTCATCAGCGAACGCTTCTGGGTCACCTCAAATACACTAGCCACATTGTCAGCATAAGGTTGTCGAGTTTCTGGTTCTCCATGAATTTTTCTGAGAGATATTTTGGGGCTTCTATAAGTAAGTTCATGTCAATTTGATCTAAGTTTGTGAATATTTTTCCTTTCTCAGAAATACAAATTGACAATCGATTTCATCTAGCCCGGTTGACCCTACAAATGATTCACGTAAACTTAATCTGTCAACTTCATAGACTAATCACATTTCAAAAGATACATAGATATATCTTATTGAAGTCAAATATTTGATCACTTAACAGATTACTTGTGTACAACATTTTTATGGAAAAGTTTAAATTTTCCAGCAGAGATGATCGATCATTGGCTAGTAGTGGAATTCAGAACTGATGTTTTGTCCTGTTTGTAATTGATCAATGACACTCCTCAACTATATCAGTCATGAAGATTCAAACTATTTATTGATTGTTATCAAAATCTTGCTGTTTTTAAAAAAAATTGATTTTCATGTGATCATAGCTCGAATAACTGAATAGCTTAGGCTTCTGAATATGAAATTCAATGAATTAGAATAGAATCGAATTCACTAGATAAAATCGATTCACGCAATAAATTTGTGGTGCGAGCTACTTATAAGTAGTATATGACGTGAGTGTCAACGTAATATGTCTGGCAGCAGATGGGAGAAGATCAAGAAAGGAAGAAGAGTGGGAACACAATGGAATTTGTATGAAACGCATGAATAGTGACAATGGATTGATGTTTCTCAGCAGGAACAGTCCAGTTCGATATGATGGACTGATATTTTGCGAATAAACGATTTACGATATGGTTTTCCAATTTTATTGAGTAACTCTTTAATTTTCGTTAAATACAATTCGGTTGCCCCACCTGTGTTCTCCTTCACTACACATTTACAAGATACACCCGGCTGATATTGGTATATCGAATAATTCAAAACCTCAGTCAGAATAGCTTTTCTCTATCATCATCAATCTGTAATTGTGTTCCTGACATTACAACACACATGTCAAATAAGATGAAATTTTATATTTTTGGAACCATGAACCGATCAATGTTAGACCACTATTAGAAACCTGGAAGCACTGCAAGACGGTCGTTTCGTCCTGGTATGGGACTCCTCAGCAGTGCGCATCGGTTCATGGTTTCAAAAATGTGTAACTTAACAATCTTCACAACCCCGTAATGCAAATTACCTATGCTCACTAGTGACTAGCTTCGTGAGGAATCTTATCCGAGTTCTAGTGGGAAGACGTGACTAGTGAAGTTCAACCTGTTCGGGTGTAGACAGAAACTACTACTGAACACTGTGTATGAGGTGGTTGCGCAACTCCGTGAATTTGATCAAGTTAGACAATAACACCGTTCAACGTCCCGTCTCAGTGGTCTATCGGTTAGGGCGTTCGCGCACAATAATGTAGGTCCTGGGTCCGAATTTGGCGGGGTTCAGCAGTCGTGGATGCGCACTGCCACTGATGAGTCCCATACCAGGACGAAACGGCCGTCTTTCAGTGCTTCCAGGTTTCTCTAATGGTGGTCTAACATTGATCGGTTCATGGTTTCAAAAATGTATAACTTAACAATCTTCACAACCCCGTAATGGAAATTCTATATGTTAAATGTCAGTGTTAGTCATAGTAGCGTCATGTACGACACTCTTCTATCATTGATGAAACTGAGGCAAAACAAAAAACGAGTTATAAACTTTTTAAACCAATTTATCTTTTTATTTTCGTATTTTTAAAAACAAGAAATCTTGACAAAAAAAAAACAAAAGAAAAAAACGAAGGAGAAATTGAACAAATAAATGAATACTCTAATTATTCAAACAAGGTAAATTCTCCTCTGTTAGTTTTTTTAAACGCATTCATCATTGTACAATACAATATAAATATATAACTGTTTATATATATATATATATATATATATATATATATATATATCAATTTCTACTATAAAAAAGAAAGGAAAATATTATTGATTTTCAATGTTGTGTTTATTTTAAAATGAATGTAGTTTTGTTGTGGTTGTGGGTGTGGGTGTGGAATATTTATTGATTTTTCAATGTTCAATTATTCATTATTATTATCATTGTTATTCGCGAATGCATATTTTAAGAGATGATTTTCTGTATTGGTTTTGAAATAAATTCTCTCGTCGTTATTATTATCAATAAGCAGTAGTTGCGATAGTAGGAGTATTGGTGACAGTAGTAGTAGTGGTAGTAGTAATAGTAGTAGTAGCAGTAGTAGTATTAGTAGTAGTTAGTAGTAACAGTAGTAGTGGTAGTAGTAGTATTAGTAGTAGGTAGTAGTAGTAGTGAGAGTAGTAGTAGTAGTAAGTAGTGGTAGTAGTAGTAGTGATAGTAGTAATAGTAGTATTTGTAGTAGTGGTAGTAGTAGTAGTAGTAGTGAGAGTAGTAGTAGTAGTAGTAGTAGTAGTAGTAGTAGTAGTAGTAAGTGGTAGTAGTAGTAGTATTAGTATTAGTATTAGTATTAGTAGTAGTAGTAGTAAGTGGTAGTAGTATTAGTATTAGTATTAGTATTAGTATTAGTAGTAGTATTAGTAGTAGTAGTAGTAGTAGTAGTAGTAGTAGTAGTAGTAGTAGTAGTCTGAGTAGTAGTAGTAGTAGTAGTAGTAGTAGTAGTAGTAGTAGTCTGAGTAGTAGTCTGAGTAGTAGTAGTAGTAGTAGTAGTAGTGGTAGTAGTAGTGGTAGTAGTAGTAGTAGTAGTAGTAGTAGTAGTAGTAGTAGTAGTAGTATTAGTAGTAGTAGTATTAGTAGTAGTAGTAGTAGTAGTAGTAGTAGTAGTAGTGAGAGTAGTAGTAGTAGTAATACTATCATAGGGAAATAAAAATCACTGTAAATTTCATCAGCATCTGTATTTTATTCATAATCCACATATATATTGTGATTGTTTGTTTCATTGTCTTATGATGAATCGATACATATGTATATTTTCTCCCAATAGAAATAACGAATATACATATATATAGATATATTCACATTGTATTTCACCAAAATCAATATTGATCACATATATTTGTTTGAATATGTAAAAAATTAAAAAAAAACAAACATGAAAGAAAACACTGTTTCTGCTGTAGTATAATGATGAATATTCCATTTTGTTTATTTAATCTATGATATTTATATTTTTCTTTTAATCAATCTGATCAATAATAATCAATTACTATCATTTCTCTATGTATATTATTATTTAAATTAGTTCGGTGATTTTTCTTAAATAAAAAAAAATTAAAGTCAATGAGGCACTTTCAAAGTAGAGTTCATTATGATACAGATTCATCTTTCAATATTTTTGATTATTATTTTTTTATTACTTATTATTATTGTTAGTAGTATGGTTGTAATTTTTAAAAATTTACAATGATCAATGCCATTTTTTTCTAATTTCTCACAAGAAAAATCGTCTCATTTTAAACAAAACAATAAACAGATTATTATTATTATTATTTTGAATGAATATATATTCATCTGCTTTTTTTCATTTGAGAAAAAAGCAACAAAAATCATAATTTTTTTACACGATTTAATTCAAATAATAATGTTTTTCTAGAAATGAACTGTCTATTTTGAACTGCTACCACCACCAGTATTACTACTAGTATTACTGGATCGACTGGATGAAATTCGATTAGTATTGATATTTGTATCTAATCCACTAGGTAATCGTCGAAAACGTGTTTTTGTTGGATAATTCTCTGTTAATTTTGTTGTACCTAATGACATTTGACGATATAATGGTAAAATTGATTTTTTTGGTGATGTTTGTTGTTGATTCATTGAATAACTTTTCATTTCATTCAATGTTGAAGAATTATTACTGTTGTTGTTATTACTGCTATTCTCAGCAGATGTTGAACTCATCGGCGGTAAATTTGATGATGATGATGATGCGGCTGATGTTGTTGATTGATAATTATCTTTATCAGTTAATTGTAAACGTTGAAAAGCATTATTATTATTATTATTATTGTCATTTTCTGTGAAATTATTCATTGAACTAGTTTGATTTTCAGATAATGGTTGGGTAAAACGTCGCCACCAATCAGGATTGGTTAAATCATTTAATTTTTCTGCTTGTCTAGGTACAAGATGTTGTGGACTTAAATGATTTTTGTCTAAATATTCTAAAATCTGAAAAAAAAATATAATGTATGTATATATATATATATATATATATATATATATGTATATTGGGGATTTATTAGTTTAGTGTTTGTAGAAATGGTTATTTTGTATAGTATATACACATTAAGAAGCTGTAACTGATAGAATGTAACCAGCCATACTGTGGTGCGCGCTACTTACAAGTAGTATATGACGCGAGTGTAAACGTAATATCTGGCAGAAGAAGATGGGGGAAGATCAAGAGAAAGGAAGAAGAGTGGGGGGAACACAATGGAATTTGTATGAAATGCATGAATAGTGAGTGAAATGTCAAACAATGGATTGATAATGGATTGAAGATTTGCAAATTAACCGTTTACGATATGGTTTTCTTATTTTACTGAGTAACTCAGTGATTTTCGTTAAATACAATTCGGTTGCCCTCACCTGTATTCTCCTTCACTACATTTGGTGTCGCTGCCTGCACGAAGGAAGGAGCTCCCATGGCTGAAGGAGTTTGAGGACGGAGATTTGCGGATCTTCCTGGAGGAGTTTGAATGATAGCTGCACAATAGGTTGATGAATTGATCGAAGTTAGAAATATCAGCTAATGAATACTTAATCAATAAATAGCCTAATGATTAAGCTCTCACCACCAATAGACCTTAACATCTTACATTTGATCTCTGGTTGAGTCTCTTTTGTTTTAAAATGAAACAACTATTCACAGATTCATGTGGTTTCCAATGGTTGTATAACTTGATTTACACTATAAAATATAAGTTCGTTTCACAGGTAGTCTACAACGCAAATTAACATCAGTTAATAAGTAACCATCATGGATCTCTCACACCGAAAAGAATATATTCCAAGGCATTTATTGAGTACAGTAGATTTTGTTGACCCGCAACAATTGCAAAACATTATTCAAAAATAAATGGCTGTCTTTTTCTAGCTGTAGTAGTAGTTCCCACCCGCGACTTCATCATCAGTGACTAAACTCTGGGGTTTTAGTAGAGTGTCACAGCTTTTTTAGCGTTAAGTTACAATGCAATAATTCAATTAAGTCGGTGATAAATATCTCATTTCGGCACTAAACCTTACCACAATAACCTGATTTCATATTAGAAGTGAAACTCATTTGACACGCTTATATTTAGCTTTTAGATTTTATCTGTTGAAAATCAATTCAGTAGTTTAAAATAAATATCGAAATAATTCTATGACAACAACAACTCAATAGTTTTTGGGGAGTCATTGATGCGCAATTTTTATGAGTTCCATACAAGGACGAAACGGCCGTCATCCAGTGCTTCCAGGTTTCTAATGATGGTCTAACAATGATTGATTGATGATTTCAAATGTGTAAAAAAGTTAATAAATTACATACAGCTTACAAATAAATATCGTCAATATCTTCTTCATTTTAAAATCAGTAATATATATAAATCTTCAAATATATATATATATATATATATTTTTAAAACATCTAACCTGTGAAGGTAATTCAGCTAAAACTTCTTTAGCCAATGCTACTTTACTCCAACGAATACTGTCTGAACCATCAGCAGCTAATCGTAAAAATCGTCTCATTTGTACAAACTAATAACAATAATAATAACCACAAAAGAAATCAATAAATCAATACGTACATTTTATCAGAGAGATATATATTACTTATAGCCAAAAAAGAACAACCCATAATGAATAAGCTTTTTTATTCGGAGTCACGACTTGACTTCAAAGCAAAGCGAATTACGGAAGTTAAGTATGCCAACTAAAATGGTGAGTCCAACGTGATATGACCGGGCTTCGTTATGTACAATGGATACGACATGGTGTTGTCTGCTTGTTCATCAAGTCTGATATGCTGACTCGTTCTTCGTCTAACACATTGAGTTCGAGAGCTTCTTTGCCGACGTAATTCTTCACGTCGGGTTAGTTTTGGCGTCTGAGAATTCTCAGTAATCGTCGGGCATTCTCAGAACAATCACGTCGGAAGATTTCGGGGAGACAAAGAAGCGACGGTAAATGAGTATAAAATTACAAATATCATTCAGAATTATTTTGTTGGCTGCGTTAGATTCGGCGTCGGGCTTAATACAAATTTGTTGCGTTATTTGATTTGATGTGTAGGGCTCACTACTTTGGTGGTCCCCCCAATCCGGTTCGAATATTTATGATCGATCGAGCATGCAGTCGAATAAACCTCCCCCCATCAGTTTCCGAATACTGTACTTTGGCAAACGCCGTTTGTGCGACGGCAGTAATGAGAAGCCAAAGACGGATTCGGTTGGATGAGTTGATTTCAGACAATTGTTCTTCAAGCAGACATGATAACGAAAAGCATACCAGCAAAGCAAAGCGAAGTAAAGTGGGGAAGGCGAGAGAGCTAACTCTAAGCATGACTAAGAATTTATACGTAGTGAGACAAAACTGAGTCAGACATGTAATAAGCGAGATAGGCGTGCACACAGACACAAATGAAAACAACGCAGATATAAACGAATGATTGACAATGGGTCAAAAGACTAGTAGGCTAATTAATTTGCCCTAAGGCTAGGATGAGCCCTGTGAGCCATACATAACAACACTCACTATAATTTCACATATTTAATAAAAGATGAGGATAAGGCATTGAATTAGAGATGACGTATTCAACAAAGAACACATGTCATGAAAATGAAATGAAGAGTAAAGATTGAATCTACAGTTCAGTATGTTGTTATTCATGTAAGGAGGTTATTGACTTTCAATGAAATAATGTGCTCACTAGTAATGATTAGCTTCGTGAGAAAATCTTCAGAGTTCTATTGAGAAGCTGAAACCAGTGGAGTTCAACCTTGTCGGGTGTAGGCAGTTAACTGCCGAAGAAAATGGATGAGGTTGAGCAATATCTTGGATTGATTATTAAAGTTAGATATTAACACTGTTGGATGCTGACTTATTGATTAAGAAGTTAATAGTTTGTTCGCGAAACCGAAGGCCCTAGGTGCGTACTGCTGTGTAGTCCAGACAAGGAAGACACGACTGTCCAATGTTTCTAGGTCTCTAATGGTGGTCTTACAATGATCGATTTTTATAATTTCAATGCTATTTGTTTGTCAAAATACAAGTCTGTGTATTCAGCTGTGAATCATACTTTGATAGTATGAATATCCGGTTGATTCTTATATCATCAAGTCGATGCCATGTAAACAAACTACTTATGACCTATGAAGAAAAATAAGCTCTACTCCATTTGTAAACAATTGAATGTGCTTGTTGTAAGTGTTAAAGTTTGTAATCGATCAGTTCCTTTTGGTATAGATACATTCCGTCAGAACTACTTTGGTATTATCATTATATCGTGAACATCATCGACATAATTGACAATCAAGGTGGATCCGATGCAGATGTGAGGGCGCGGATCGGCAAAGTAAGGGCTGCATTTTTACAGTTGAAAAATATCTGGAACTCCAAACAACTTTCAACCAAAATCAGGATTTTCAATACAAATGTCAAGACAGTTCTACTGTATGGAGCGGAAACTCGGAGAACTACCAAAGCCATCATCTATAAGATACAAGTATTTATGAGCAGTTGTCTTCGCCAAATACTTCGGATTCGTCGGCCAGACACGATCAGCAACAACTTACTGTGGGAGAGAACAAACCAGACTCCAGTGGAGGAGGAAATCAGGAAGAAGCGGTGGAAGTGGATAGGACACACACTGCGAAAAACACCCAACTGCATCACAAGATAAGCCGTCACATGGAACCCTCCATATCAAAGGAAAAGAGGAAGGCCAAGGAACACTTTACGCCGAGAAATAGAGAAAGACATGAGAATAATGAACAAAAAACTAGAAAGAACTAGAAACGGAAGTCGAGGACAGAGTTGGTTGGAGAAAACTGGTGGGCGGCCTATGCTCCATTGGGGGTAACAGGTGTAAGTAAAGTAAGTAAGTAAGTGAACATTTCTGAACAAAGTTTTGACAATGGCCAGTAATAGAGAATCCAGTAAGCTCGTCTCATCCCGTTTAACGCTTGTCAGCTGGATAGATATGCCTACACTCTTGTATGGATGTTCAATCCAACCCAGTACTTATCGCATCAAACGTCCAATGTGTCATCAAATCACATACAAATTCTAAATAGCTACAAGTTAATGCAAACTTTTGCTGAAAAAAATGTTTGTGAGTTAATTCGAGCTAAAATTGCTAGATTACAGTCTTTAACTTCAACAATTTAGAAAAACCAAAAGCTCAACAAATGAAATAAAGTACATTGGTGTTGCATCAATGTTAGGATATTCAGCCAATATCCTAAGAGAATTATTGGTCTATTCCGATTGGTTAATTCCTACAAGTCAATTTTATGGTTGTCCTGACTATCAATGTCACTTCAAATGCTACTTCCTATTGGTCGTCTTAACTGTCAATGTCACAGACTTCGATACTGTTTCCTATTCGACCTAAATGTATATATACGCATTATCTGTAACGTTTTAGGACCATGACCAGAACCAGGGCTCGGTCCCGGATCACTAATCCGGGATCCTGATTCTCTTCTGCACTCAGACCTCGTACTTTCTGGATGTTTGTTGAATACAGGTTCTACTTCATATCATGTCTTCTTATTTTTACTAAATATGGGGGTTGGGATTTGAGTAGCATGCCGTGCCACCGGATCCTCGATCATCGCTCTCGTTTTCTGACTAGGTAAACCCGCAATAGTACAGGTATATCAAGTTGACATGTTTACGTGCAGGCGTAACAATCAACCAATGGCTATCTATCTACAACCAGTATACAGGCATATTTCCAACTCACAAGTCCAAAACAACCAACCCCGCCTTGATTGTACTATTAGCTACTATCATAATTTTATTTGGCTGATAAGAGTTATCTGTCAGTTTTAAAATGTAACCAATTGTCGCATGTTATATTGATTCACATTAATTTCGACTTTACTGAACCATGATAATTTATAGAAATGGGTTAAATTAAAAAAATGATTACTACGAACAATATAACATCATCCATAACTTTGTGTGTAAGATGTTTAAACATGATAATTTAAGTCCAAGACTTGATCTCATATTGAGAAGACTGAGGCAGGCGAGGAAGATTGTATTATGCCCAGTTACACTCTGAGTCAATTAAAAACGAGAAACATTACATTGAATACACTCTATTTGCACACCATCTTTGAGTCGTGACTTCCAACACTCCATCATCCTTCTTCCATTCCTGTTGTTGCTTCCTTTCCTTCCTGTTGGTACTCCCTCTTTACTTCTTGCTTTTGCTCCATTTGCTTTCCGTTTTCCTCTTCTGATCGTGAGACTTCTTTCACGTCCCTTCTTATACTACTTATATCGTTCGTTTAAGTAGCATACATCACAATATTACAAGTGAATAGTACAAATATATTTCTGCAATTACTAACTGTTTGATTTATTTTTTAAAATAAGTCCTAAGCAAAGATTAATGATATTTTTTACTTAGATTTGAGTGATTTGGTTTTGTTTGTTTGTTGAAAAACAATATTATTCAAAATTCATTTAGTTGAAAATTAAATGATTGAATAAAATCTTACTTGTACATTATCTCTGCAAGCTTGTTCTTGACCAACTTTTAATAAACTAAAATCTTGATCTAAAATTTCCATTTCTAATAATAAATAGTAAATAACAATAGAAATAATAAATATTTATAGGTAAAGAGAAATATTAAAATTGATATGTTTGAAACTATTGTAGTGAACGAGAACACAGGGGGGGGGGCAACCGAATTGTATTTAACGAAAATTACAGAGTTACTCAGTAAAATCGGAAAACCATATCGTAAATCGTTAATTTGCAAAATATCAGTTCATCATATCGAACTGGACTGTTCCTGTTGCAAAACATCAATCCATTGTCACTATTCATGCGTTTCATATAAATTCCATTATGTTCTAACTCTTCCCTTCTTGATTTTCCCCCATATTCTGCTGCCGGACATTACGTTGACACTCACATCATATACTACTTATAAGTAGCTCACACCACACTATGACGAGTTCCATTTACTTGGTAAACGGAACGAAGATCAACGTTACAGTGATACGATAGGCTATTCTAATCTGATTGTCCAAGGCTCAGGCTAACTAAAGAAACAAGTCTTGATAAGATGTAGAGAGAATGTATTCTACAGGCACCCGGAAAGGTTGCGGTTCACAAAGCACACAACTCAAAATTATTTATACAATGATAAAAACGCCCTTGGTGAGAGTTACTACATAATAGTCTACCAAAATAATCCATCAACCAATGACAGTCAAGGATTTTCTCGAGTGGGAAATTTAAGCTGAAGGTCATCTAAGCGTCCTTGGCGCCAAAAAACACAAAAATTCAAAAATTTTGGAATAAATTACAAAATCAGGACCTTTTTCAAGTGGGTTCTAGGGATCTAATGTCCCCAAGATATTATTGAATTAATAATATATCGAAAATTTACTTTTGATGTTTAATTCAAATTTGTCTGTAAAGTATACCTATATTGCTTACGAGACTGATGCTACCTGTTGGATTTTTAGTTCAGTAGAGTAATGATAATTATACAAGATAATGAGATGGACAGATGTGTAGTTTCTTTAATTATTATATTCTGGCCTCTATAATATTGATTGTCTACAAAGTAATTGAAATCATCAACCAATCATTGGTAGACCATTATCAGAAACCCTGGAAGCACTGGACGACCATTTCATCTTGGTATGAGACTCATCCGTATTTGGTCCAGACGTTAGGCATTCGCGCTTAAGACTGTAGGTCCTTGGATCGAATTCTGCAAGTAGCAGGAGTTGTGTATGCACACTGCTGATGAGTCCCATACTAGGACTTGCGGGCCGTCCAGTACTTCTAGGTTTGTAATGGTAGTCTAACAATGATTGATCATGATTTCAATGTGCAAAAAACACTAATCTCCATAACTCTAAATAGAATAGTTGATAATTATAGTGTCCTGTAAAATGTAAGTGAATTATTAAACTTATGAAATCAGATCGGAAATCTAAGTTAAATAGATTTCTGAAGAAAGTACAACTGAACATGAAACTGTTTGAATATGAAGTGGGGAATAATAAGTTATTTATGTATAAAAAAACTAGGCAGCAGATAATTTAAATTATTTATTACTTAATGAAGGATTGATCAAGAATAAAATGTTTCATGAAAACCAGTATGTACACTTTTGTTTGTCATATCAAATAACTTGGTATCTTTTGTTCGGGTTAGTTAAAGTTTCTTTTTGTATATTAATATATAATTCGATTTTTTCTCCTAATAACGAGGTTGAAATAATTAACTCCGCCTGGAGACCTTCAGGACTTACTATCGATCTCAAACCCACATAATGAAGGAGGGTTGGGCATGGTGTTATCGCATCTATCCTGTATAAAATCAGTAGGCTCCGAAAATGTATACCGGAAAAATAACCGTGATCGCCGACCTATACTCCAGTATGGGTGACAAGTAAGTTAGTAAGTAAGTAAGTAAGTGCATAAGTAAGTAAGTAAGAAAGTAAGTAAGTGCATAAGTAAGTAAGTAAATAAGTAAGTAAGCAGGTAAGTAAGTAAGTGCATAAGTAAATGCATAAGTAAGTAAGCAAGTAAGTAAGTAAGTAAGTAAATTAGTTAGTTAGTTAGTTAGTTAGTTAGATAGTTAATGAATCAAAAGTTTCATTCGTGAAAATGTTGAATTTTTTTTCAAAATTTTATTGTGATGTTAAGGACTACACAGTGAAAGAGTCTCAAGTGGCATCTTATCGATCTTGAGCTGGTTGGTTATATAACTAGCATCATTGAGTGATAAAACATTTGTTACCGTTTTCATTAAAAAACAAATTTAGATAACAATAAATTTTTTTTGGTATTGATCAGTTTGATGTACTTGTATACAGTGGTGCATAATAATCACATTTAAAATTGAAACGAGGGTTTTTTTACTACTTCACTGTGGGAAAGAACAAACTAGATTCGATTAGAGGAAGAAATCAAGAATAGAGGCTGGAAGTGGATAGGACACACATTGAGGAAGGCGCCCAAATACGTCACAAGCCAAGCCATCACTTAGAACCCTCAAGGCCAACCTAAAAACGGATGACCAAAGAACACATTACGCTGAGAAATGGAGACATACATGAGAAGAATGAACAACAGTCGGATAGAACTGGAAAGGAAGGCTCAGAACAGGGTAGGTTGGAGAATGCTAGTCGGTTTCCTATACTCTATTAGGGTATAACAGACGTAAGTAAGTAAGTGCATAAGTAAGTAAATAAGTAAATAAGTAAGTAAGTAAGTAAGTAAGTAAGTAAGTAAGTAAGTAAGTAAGTAAGTTAGTTAGTTAGTTAGTAAGTTAGTCAGTTAGTAAGTAATTAAGGCGAAATAACTGCTAGATATCAAGAATTTTTCGTTTATTTTTAGTCTGATGACGAAAACTAATTTATTATGTGAAAGCATTCCGGGAATAAAAAGTATCTGTTACACAAGTTTCACTATGAACAAAGTAACAACATATATATATATCTATCTATTGATAAACAGTTACCTGAAAATTTTCCTCCACCAACACCGAGTACAATAATTGAAATAGGAAGAAATGAAGTCTGTATTTAATAAAATAAAATAAAATAAAATGAGATGATTAGAAAATTCCCCAGAAATAAAAAATATCATTTAAACAATTTTAATTCACCTGTAACAGTGTGTAGTACAATGAGCAGTTAGTTTTATTTACATTTTTATTGCTTTTTTAGGAAAAATAAACCCATTTTTAGTGAGAGATAAAAAATTGAAACCATTGAACAATTTGTTTGAATGAAAAAAGATAAAAAGACAACTGGTTTTTTTTTTATCAGTACTGCTGCATAAAAAATTTTCATAGTGCATTCTCTGTGTGTGTGAGTGTTTTCCCAGTGTTTTTTTTCAATAAACAGTTTGACTTCTTGTGTAGACCATATTTGATCGTATTCAATAGACCTCCTATTGTAGTGAAGGAGAACACAGGTGAGGGCAGCCGAATTGTATTTAACGAAAATTACAGAATTACTCAGTAAAATAGGAAAACCATATCGTAAATCGTTAATTTGCAAATCTTCAATCCATCATCAATCCATTGTCTGACATTTCACTCACTATTCATGCTGTTTCATACAAATCCCATTGTGTTCCCACTCTTCTGCCTTTCTCTTGATCTTCCCCCATCTTCTGTTGCCAGACATTACGTTTACACTCACGTCATATACTACTTATAAGTAGCGCGCACTACACTATTATTATTATTATTATTAACCTTTTATTACTGCTTTGTTTATTATTGGCTTGTTGAATATTAAATGCTTTTATCGATAGTATTCCATTTGTTGATGTTTAGCATAGAATTTTGGTTAGCCATTTATGAAATCTATGTGTCCTAAGCAGATTTTCTAAATGTGTCACAAGTTTTATAAAATAGAGAAATCATAATTCGGAATAGAATTTCTGTATGTGTGAGTGTTTGGAGAGGTTCTGTTGGGGATGTTAGATCCCCAAAACTCGCTTGTTAAATGCCTTATTTTGGATTCTACGTTTGTCAGCATGGTCTGATCAGTTGACCTTGAGATTTCAATTCCCACCAGGAAAATCCATGTGGCTGTGATTGGCTGTTGTGTATTTTAGTGTGCTATTTTGCGTAACTGTCCCAAGGACGTTTCTATGATGTATAAATAAACGAGAGTTGTATGCTTGATTGTGTTGTGTGATTTCTGGGTGTTTGTAGAATATACTTTCTACGCTTACAAAGCCTTTTATCTTCAGTTTGGTATTCAAGGTAGCCTACCTGGACGCTGGTTCATTGTCTCGTTTCACGTTTATCGACTAAGGTAAACCCGTAATAGCCTCAAGCATACATAGTGACGAACCCAATAGGTTCTAATTATAATGTGAACATTGACAGTAGAGTGTAAGTAAGACCATTTGACGAGTAGAAATTCGATGTAATACGTCTATTGTATTCTATAATCTAACTAACTAATCTTTGTTTACACTGTTATGATTTCAAGTAAAGATAAATTTTGATAATTACACTGAGAAATAAGGAGTAGTTTCTTCAATGTCCAAACAATTATTATAAACAACCTTATGTTATCTAATAATGATCTAATTGTGAAAAAAAGATGACTCAGTAGTTTGAGATCACCTTTTTTCTAGTTATCAGTTTTTTTCGTTACTTGTCTATTTCATCTGAAAAAAATTCTTCTCGATGACTGGACACTGTATAAAAAGAGCATATGTCAAAGACTGGATTGTCGATATCTTGTTGAAAGTGGCATGTAGTGTGTTAGGTATCACGAAGTTTGTTCAACTATGACAACTGCGTTGTTTAAACGTTTCAACAAAAAGAATGTGTTTGGTTCTGTCACTAATGTTGCTAGGATGGAAAGAGCTTTTTATCCGATGTGACTGTAATGGTGAAAGCCGTCAATAGGCATAATAACAAGCAATGTCGAGATTAGGATCAAGTTATTAATGTGAATTAGGGATTTACTGGTTGGATGTCAACAGAGAGTGCGGGTTAACTCCAAGTTGTCGAGCTAAGAAACTGTGCTTAGTGGGGTGTCTCAATGTACAACAATTCTAAGGCTAGTGTTGATCCTCTTGTATGTGAATGACCATTCAAATCTCCTACTTTCATTGATTTTGTCATAAGCTGACGACATGAAGCTATGGGGAGCGATAATATAATCTAGGAGATTGTCTACAACTTAAAAATAACATACAGAAATTATCTGAATGGTCTAGAATTTGGCAGTTGCTGATAAACGCCTCCAGGTTCACTATGATGTATATTGGTCACAATGATACAGATAGATACACAGTGAATAATAACATTGAGCTACCTGTTATCCAGACGCACAATGACCTGAGGATCACTATTAGCTAAGACTTGGAAACTACTGCACATTGTTATGTGATATCCGCCAAAGTTTTACAGTCCTGTGATCAATGTGTAGAGCCCTTAGCCACGTCGATGCTAAGACATCTTTGACTTTATAAACAATAGTTACCCATAATAAGCTCAAGTGCTAAACACAAGCCGCCAGTCCCTGCCTAAAAAAAGACGGTGAGCTGTTGGAAAAAAGGTTCAAAGAACCCCAGATTACTTGATTCCCGGGATTTCAAAGCTGCGCAAATTAAATCTATTTCTTTTGTCTTATAAGAGGATGAGTGGTAACTTCATTACGACTTCTGAACTACTTCATGATAAACTTGTATCTGACATGCCCTCATTTTTCTTGCCTTCAGGGACGGAAAATTTATGAGGACACCATAACAGGTTCATAAGCCCAGAAAAATTACTTGTCAGCTGACTACCGACTTTCCCATCGAATCTTGAATGAAAAGTACTAGTTACCTCAATATGTGATTAAAAGCTCCATCTGTCGATATTATGTTCGTCACTATGTATGCTTGGGGCTATTTGGAGTTTACCTTAGTCGATAAACGAGAACGAGACTTTTACCAGCGTCCAGATAGGCTACCTTGAATCCCCAAATAAAGTAAGAAGGCTTTGTAAGCGTAGAAAGTATATTCTATTCTACAAACACCCAGCAATCACACAACACATTCAAGCATACAACTCTCGTTTATTTATACATCATAGGAACGTCCTTGGGTCAGTTACGCAAAATAGCACACTAAAATACACAGCAGCCAATCACAGCCATGGATTTTCCTGGTGGGAATTGAAATCTCAAAGTCAACTGATCAGCCCATGTTGGCAAACATAGAATCCAAAATAAGGCATTTACCAATCGAGGTTTGGGGATCTAACATCCCCAACAGTCGATGCATTCAGGAGAAAGCTGGATCAACTGAGAGATCAAAATAACTAGGACTAAAACAAGCAATCCTGTCACTTCTATCTAAACCGGAACTTTTGTAAACTTTTGTAAATCTATATGACTGTCCATGAACTAATTAAATTATCCAATAAAACTTTTATTTTTCCTGTTATACTACTTACTATTAAAGAATAAACGATATGACTTACTTCAATTACAGATTTTTTAGTTTCAATCCAATCATCTACAGTACCATTAGTTAATATTAATAAAACATAATAATTTTCAGCTGCTTCACTTTGTTTAGCTGCTCTATAACATTTTAAAATAAATAAAACATTGAACATGATAGTTTATTTGATAATATACACAAAGGAATATTATATATGCGAATTTTTAGAAGTTTGAGATAAACTACTGACAAGTAGTTTTTATTTTTAAGTCAAAAATGGTATCATCCAGTGTTGAAGGCAACCATTAAGAAATTTCACGCAAGACTAGCTGTTTTCATCGGGCATCAAAGTTATATTGTGATTTGAGATATATTGAATCTAACTTGTTATGGTCGTCAAGTGATATGCTACTATAAACTATTACGAGTTTATCTTAGTCAGTGGTGACACGATAGGTTACGCTAATTCGAGTATCCCAAGGCCTTAACAAGTAGAGGAAGAAGTCTTGATAAGGCGTGGATAGTGTATTCTACAAGAACCAAGAAAAATCGAGGTTCACAAGCACACAAATCAAGTTTATTTATACATCATGGGAATATCCTTGGGAGAGCCACAAAAATAAGGTACTAAAATAATGCATCAACCAGTAGCAGTCAAGGATTTTCCGTGTGGGAAATGTAATCTCAAGGCCAACTAATTGGCCGATGCGCTAAAACATAAAATCCAATATTAGGACCTTTATCAACTGAGTTCTTGGGATTTATTGTCCGCCAACATAACTAAGCACTAACATCTATCTATACGATATGTCAGTGATTACAAAAAAATTATTATAGTTACTATTACTCCTCTTTTCAAAACTGATTTTACGTTATTCTTCTGGATCACGTTTTACTATATACAGTTGTGAAGATTGTTGAGTTTCGTTGAAATCATGTAATAACACCATTAGATACCTGGAAGCATTAGACTATCAGTTCGTTCTAGTATAGGGCGGCTCATCAACGGTGCGGATCCACGACCCTGTTCGCAGCAGTCGAACTCAGGACCTTTTTATTTTGCCTGCGAACGATTAACCTGTTGACTGCTGAGCCGTTAATTAACAGTGTTAATGTCTTAACTTAAGTCGATTCACTCTCTTGCGTGACCTCATCTGGTATTTGAAATGAATATATTTATATTATTCACCTCAATGACTAGCTTCCTCTTTCTCTCGTAAAATCTCCTCTCTCTGTCTCTCTTTGTCTATATCGATTCGAAGTGTCTTGACTGAAACTAATAAATGTTTGCATTACGGGGTTGTGAAGATTGTTAGGTTACACATTTTTTGAAACCATGAATCAATCAGTGTTAGAGCACGATTAGAAACCTGGAAGCACTGGACGGCCGTTTCGTCCTTGTATGGGACTCCTCAGCAGTTAGACATGAACACCGTTAGATACCTGGTCAGTGGTCCGATGGTTAGGCGTTCGCCTACAATACCGAGGGTCCTGGGTCCGAATCCCGCGGGGTGCAGGAGTCGTGGATGCGCACTTCTGATGAGTCCCATACCAGGACGAAACGGCTGTCTTGCAGCGCTCCCAGGTTTCTAATAGTGGTCTGACATTGATCGATCCATGGTTTCAAAAATGTGTAATAAATGTTTGTCCTAAAGGTTATGCTTTTATTACTATTATTATTTTGAATTACTTGTTATTTCTTGATAGGTAAAAAACAATCAGCGAGAAATTCTTCAACAACGGCTATATTCACACAACATGTATGATTTCTCACATTCGTGTTATTTATTTCATTGAGATCAATTACCAATAAAAACATCAATCACTGAATACGCACACACACACACACTTACTCGCTAACTTCACGTATGATCGGTGCGAATAATATTGGACCAGATGAGTATAAATCAGTTAAACAACGTCGATAAGCTGAAAGTACACCGACCATACCTTTACAATAACAATTGGTCACATCACCATTCTATAATAAAATCAATAATTCAGTCGATCAATAAATCAATAAATAATATAGACTGTTGTGAATGTTTGTGTCAATACATACAAGTCGATAAGGTTTCAAATTTTGACCGTATGATTGAGAATTGCATACATTAATCGATATGTTAACATCACGTATACATTGAAATCATGAATTAATCATTGTTAGACTTTCTTCAGAAACTCGGAAGCATTAGAGGGCGGTTTTGACCTGGTATGCGACTCATCAGCAGTGTGCATCCAGTGGGCCCTCACTACTCGTGTGAATCGAATCGAACATCTTCAGTCTCGGGAGTAAACGCTTAACCTCTAAACGACTGAGTCGGCATCCAACAGTGCTTATGTCTAACGTTGATCATTTAAACTTGATAAGTTTTTATAATATATATTCTCCCTCATTTTATGTTGGGTTATTCACCAAATATCCTAAAAGTACTATTTTTGGAAGTGTAATCCTATTGGTCGAAATGATGGTCGTTTTAACTGTCAACATCAAATACTTCAATGTTGTCTCTTATTGGCCCTCCTAAACTGTCAATGTCACAAACTTTGATGCTCTTTCCTATTCGACCTTAATGTATAAATACGCACTATATGTAAGCCTTCATGATTCCGATTTCGATTCCGTTTCTCCTGCCTACTTCTCTTCTTTACTCGACCCAATAAACAACTCCATCCCATGGTGTTGCGTTCTGATATCTAGGAGATTTGGAAATAGCATTTTGGTTTGTATTGAGATATTTGAATTGGACGCCGCCAGGACTGAATAGCTAGCTGCTATACGTAGCAGCGTTATAACATTTTAAAATAATCAACTTTTGAAGTTTGAACATGAAATGTTTTTAAATAAACTACAGTTTAAAAAGATATTTAGTTTCATTAGTAGTAATATTTCAAGAAATGCATGAATAATTTCAGTAGTATAGTTAAGATTGAGTTGATTTTATGTATATATATATACATAGATAATTATTAAGGGAATACAGATTTGAAAATTTGAGTAAAACTAATATCTCTCTATGTGATAATTAATAGATCAAAAGTTTATTGAATGAGAATAAATAATTAAAGACTGTGTAATTTAAAATAGTTTTTTTTAAAAAAAAATATTCTTGTCATTCATCCTATGTATACTATTTATGTCTGGACTCGCCCTGTATTGCTATTTCAATTGTTAACTAATTAAATGTTCAATTGAAGTAAAAAAAAAAACACATAATAACTAGTTATTTGAGATTGGGAATAATAGTTAGAAAACGGTTAAAAGAAAAAAAAAGGGAGTGATTGTCGTTCATACAATAATACTATTGAGTTATTTATTGAGTTAAAATTCAACAATCCACTCTCCATATTGTCGTAATGTGATACTGTATAGATTCTATCAAGGAATACTTGCGTATAAAACTTCACTAAGTCCATAGATATATTTAATTTGGGTATATCATTATTTAAAAATCCATGAGCTATCATAGATAATCTTCAATGGCTGAATAATTATTTTTTTTATATGTGAATAGATATCAACACTTTGTGAGTTTTACAGATAGTATCAACAAGAACTGATGTCATTTAGATGACCATTGAAAATCAGGAAACACAGGACAGTTGTTTCGTCGTTGTATGGAGGACCTCAATGCCATGTAGGATCTCACTCGAGAGTGAATTCAAGACTTTCAGGAATCCATTTAAGCTTTTAAGCTTGATACAAGAATTACACTGAGGAGCTACAACTGTTAGAGTCCAGCTGTGTTAGGCATGAGGTGGTTAGTGATGATTATATAATTATACAAACTGAGTCTAGAGATGTGAATCCTTTGATCCCAACTCCACTTAAGATTTGATCTCTAAACGTAATAAAATCTAAGGTTTGATACCTGGTCGGGTGTTGATCAGCACTGATGAGATAGCCCATATTAAAATGAACTAATTTTTAATTTCTTGTCACTTCTCCTTGGTTACCCCCTAACTACCTAAGATCATTTTGCGATACCAACTATAAGATTCAATATTTTTCTACAAACTTTTTCCATTTTATAGATGTCATAAGAGTTAATCCCAAGTCTTTTTAGTCTAATTTAAGTTTTTAATAAACTTATTTCATAATATATACTACTAAACTGATATAAGTTTGCCTGTCAATTATAAATACGTTCTTACAATCCTAAAAAAACGAATAATATCTCAAGATTCATAATTTTTTTCAAATATCTGTCATTATGTAGTGAAGGAGAACACAGGTGAGGGCAACCGAATTGTATTTAACGAAAATTACAGAGTTACTCAGTAAAATAGAAAAACTATATCATAACCGTTAATTTGCAAATCTTCAATCCATCATCAATCCATTGTCTGGCATTTCACTCACTATTCTATGCATTTCATACAAATTCCATTGTGTTCCCACTCTTCTTCCTTTCACTTGATCTTCCCCCATCTTCTGCTGCCAGACATTGCGTTTACACTCGCGTCATATACTACTTATAAGTAGCGCGCACCACAATTATTGCTCTTTTTTCAAGCATACTTGTTCATTTTTCATTATAGAGTTATAGAGATTGTTGTTTATGGCAAAAAATCATGGAAACATTAAAAGTAGAGCTTAACGCTGCCGGGTGTAGGAACAAACTACCGTAGACAATGGGTAAGGTTGTGCAAAATGCTTAAATTGATCGGAGTTAGACACTAAAACCTCTGGATTCAGATTCAATGGTCAGGAAGTTAAGCGTTCGCGCACAAGACCAAAAATCCTGGGTTCGAATCCAGTGAGTAACAGGAGTCTTGTATGAGCATTGATGATGAATCCCATACCAAAAAACGGTTGTCTAGGAGTTTCATGTTTCTAATGGTGATCTAACAATAATTGACTCATGATTTGAGCAGTTCATGCTCATGTTAATAATATAATTTATGTTTTAGTTAGCTGATTTATTTTTCAAGTAATTTCTTTTTACTATTAGTATTAATTTAAAGTATTAGAACTAACTATACATAAACTTACCAATGGATATCTGTGCGATAATTTACCACCTGATGAAACTTTTGCACCGAATCCAAAAGCAGGAAATAGTTGATCACTTTGTTTGTTTTTTAAAAAGAAAAGAGAATAAATCATTTATTATACAAGTAAAAATAACAGTATTAATGATATATATATTTATATTAATATTAAGCAAACGTCACGCAACAGGTATTCTAGCTTAATCGATTGAACTTCACGTAAAATGCAAAATTGAATTATTTATTACATATAATTTATACTGTTTAATTCCATTTTAAGTAGTAGAAATCTAATCTTGTAAATTAATTCTAATTATTACTTATCATGTAAATAAATGTATATAAATTCAGTCATTGACTAATCAGTATCAAATGCCATTTAAGTTCATATCTTGTTTTACATTTAACTGTGTTTTATTCGGTGTTGTTTCGCCATTTTCTACGTGTTTTGAAAAGAAAAATTCCAGTTTCTTGTAGTACTAGTAGTAGTAGTAGTAGTAGTAGTGGTAGTGTAGTGAATGGGAACACAGGTGGGGCAACCGGACTGTATTTAACGAAAATTACAGAGTTACTCAGTAAAACTGGAAAACCATATCGTGAATCGTTAATTCGCAAAATATCAGTTCATCACATCGAACTGGACTGTTCCTGTTGCCAACAACATCAATCCATTGTCACTATTCATGCGTTTCATACTAAATTCATTGTGTTCCCACTCTTCTTCCTTTCTTGATCTTCCCCCATCTTCTGTTGCCAGACATTACGTTGACACTCACGTCATATATTACTCATAAGTAGCTCAAACACACTACAACAAATAGTCGTATCATGATTATGTTTAAAACTATGAGCATTACTTCCGAGGAGAATATGCTGACTGTAAGCTTACACATTTCTATTCAATCTTTCATGTTGAATAAGATATTTATTTCAATGTCAAATAAAAGTTTGGGAAAAGGCAAGAAAATTGATGAGTGTTGATGATGCAGTGTGATTTTTTATTATCGATTTATCGATCGATTGGTTCAGGCTTTGAATGAGAAGAAAAGAAAAAAAAGGTATTTTCAAAATCACAAACACTCACAAGTCTCAATCCTATTTACTACTACTTTACAGTAAATAGAGTGAAAAAAAAAACAAAATCTCTCACCTATCATATTCTTGTAGTATTTCCATGACAGCTTGAATGGCAACTTCATATTCTGTATGAGATTGTGATAATTCTATTTGTTGACTTGGTGTATTTTTCATTGAAGTCATTGAAGCATGCGTTGACATATCGACAGCTACGACAACATTTATACTGAGACTTAAAAATACAAGAGAGGAAAAAAAAGTGTCATAACAGTTGACGAAGAGAAAAGCAGAAAGTGTGTGTGTGAGAGAGAGAAATGTTCCAAAAAAAACTAGTTAGGTGTATATTAATCGAATTCTAGTTCGCTTTCACCTTATATGGTATTGATAAAGCTTCATATTTAAATGTTTTGAGTAGAATAATGTGGACAACTTCCTTTAAGGTGTTCGATCTGTGACATAATTCATAAGGGATTACTATTCGACACATGTTTGATTTTGATGCGCTACAAATTTAAAAAAAACTTGAACTTAATTTCGGTGATCAAAAATACTCATTGTGAGTGATTTTTAATGGCCCACGGCTTGACTTTAAGTTTGAATGAATGATCGAGTATCAGGTGAAATAAATCTTACTTTCCTGTTCCATAAATCATACTTAGGCAAATTACGTTTGTGCAACGGTGATTTAATAAGAAAGCCAAATACAATTTTATGGATAAGTTTATTTCATACATTCAATAAATCAGATAGATATCATGATGCAAAGGTACAGTCAATCAGTCAGTCAGTCAGATGCAACGTAGAACTTCGTATGTAAGTACATCAGTTCATGTTGCCATAACACATCAGCACAGAGATGTAATTCTCAATTCAAATCTAATAGAAGAAGAGGTAGTAAAGGTATTACAAGTAATCGGAGAGGTTAGGATTAGAAGATATTATTCAAGAAGTATGATTCAGTGAGAAAAGTTTAGAAAGTCAAAACTAGAGGTGTTGAAGAATCCAGAATATTAGGATTTGAGAAAACACAAAGAATAAGTGCACCGGCGCCATTGTGAACTATTTTGAGCCATATCACTCAGGGTCTCTAACCATCGATTATTATCATCTCGCGGACCCAAACCAGGTAGTCGACAAATACCGACATGGCTAAGTCCACTCGTCAATGACTTCATGGATTTGTGCCATGTTTTGGTCTGGCCACCCCTAACTTTCTTCCAACCTATTCTTACACTACAAAACAAAACTCTTCGAGGCAGTCGTTGGTTAGGCATACGCAACACATGTCCCAACCTACTCAACTGATGAAGTTTCATTACTTCATCTATTGATTTGCCATTCTTACCTAGCACCCGATTCCTAATAACAGTGTTGCTCACTCGAGTGTCCCACGACATACGAGCGATGCTTCGAAGACACCTATGATCGAAAAGATGAAAAGGCACAAGCAATGACGAAGCGAAATAGACTAGGTGAATGAGCCAACTCCTATGCGCTGAAGCAATGACTAAGTATTTCATATTATTATACTTTCACTAAATTGATGACACTCAATTCGTGTTATACTTACTTAGCAATATTCTGTATTCAGCTGTGTGTTATGCTCTTTAGATAAGCCAATACCGTAGATGACATTTCTGAGAGAAATATACAAGAAGGACTAGAGATGTGCCACTCTATGCTTGAAGAAGGGTCTAATGCTAACTTGTTCCAACCGGTGAGGAAGAACAAAACTTCCATGACCACTATAGTTCAAGATTTTTCGTTATGACACTTCAGACATTTCTATAGATGCACACACACATATACACACAACCAGATCATATCATACCGATAAATGAAAATTAATGAGCCAAAAAGGAGGTTATGAGTAGGGGAAGACTACAACTAGTTAACTGTCCAAAAAATAGGAACAATAAATCTTTTGGTAATAGTGATAATAATAATAATGGTTTTCAAGAATTTATCCTTTCACGTTGTGTTGAATTGTAAACAGTAAGAATATCTTATTCATTGTTAGATGATAAAGCACATTAATTTACAATTCGCCTTTTTTATTATAAAATATAATGACTTCTGTGCATGATTTTAATTTTAAACAATTATATATTTGTAAGCAAATGATAAAGAGTTGAATGAAATCAACTGTATTCATGTTAAGACACCGGCTCAGTGGTCTAACGGTTAGGGCGTTCGCGCACAATACCGACGGTCCTGGGTTCGAATCCTGCGGGGTGCAGGAGTCGTGGATGCTCACTGCCACTGATGAGTCCCATACCAGGACGAAACGGCCGTCTTGCAGTGCTTCCGGGTTTCTAATGGTGGTAGTCTAACATTGATCGATTGATGGTTACAAATAAAACTTAACAATCCCGCAGTGTATTCATGTTATTCTGTTCAGTTGTTTGTTTTTTGCGTACTTCAAGATAAAATAATGAGAAGTATAAGTATGGCGTTATGTAATCTTTTTCTATTGTATGAAATAAATATGATATGAAATTGTAAATCAATCATTGTTAAACTACCATGTAAAGCCCGGAAGCACTGAAGGACGGCCGTTTCATCCTAGTGGTATGGGACTACTCATCAACAGTGCACATTTATGATCTTCACTCATGGGAATTGTATTCAAGATCTTCCGCCTAGAGCTCGAACGCCTAATCTCTTGACCACTGAACCGGTATTCAACACTGTTAATGCCTAACTTGAATCGATCTCTCCCATTGTTTTCGGTAGGTAAATAACTACCTACACTCCACAGGGTTGAACTCTACTGGTCACAATTTCTCACCTAGAACTCTGTAAAGTTTACCCCCACGAAGCTAGTCATTAGTGATTACAACAATTTGATATGATGTTTTGTCCTGTTTATAATCAGTTATAGATCCATCCAAAATGCAATACAATGTGTGTTTATTATTTCTATCATAGTTTATTTACATTGACACTAGTTAACAAAATAATTTACACTCAAGTAGATAATCGAATATAATTGACAGTTTTCGAAAAAAATAACTAACAAGTAAGCTGAAATGTATATAAATAAAATAAATGTTAAATATTTATTATTCCTAAAAAAAATTTGTTTAGATTATATCATTTTCAAATTTGGCGACAAATTCAAATCAGTGAAAATAAAAAACATTTCAAAATAAATCCAGTTATCAGTGTAAAAAAAAAGAAAAATATTGATTTAGTAAAATGCAACGTCGAGTGTTTTTTTTTATTCATAAAAGATTGCTGTGAATCAGATTATATTATTCAAGACTATAATATATATGTATATGCCATGATTATTCCAGGATGGGATCGATCCCATGAAGTTACACTTTGAAATGTTTCATAATTGTAGGTAATGATTAGTGAAAAACAGTGATTTATAAATTTTTATTCATTCCTTTGCTGGGACACCCGAGTGAGTAACGCTGTTATTAGGAAACGGGTGCTAGGTAAGAATGCCAGATCAATAGATGAAGTAATGAAACTTTATCAGTTGAGGTGGTTGGGACATGTGTTACGTAGGCCTAACCACCAACTGCCTCGAAGAGTTTTGTTTTGTAGTGTAGGAGTAGGTTGGAAGAAAGTTAGGGGTGGCCAAACCAAATCATGGCAGAAATCCATGAAGTCATTGACGAGCGGACTTAGCCATGTCGGTGATTGTCGACTACCTGGTTTGGGTCCGTGAGATGATAATAATCGATGGTCAGAGACCTTGAATGACATGGCTCAAAATCGTTCGCAATGGCGCTGGTGCATTTATTCGTTGTGTTCTCTCAAATCCTAATCTTCTGGATTCCTCAATCCCTCTAGTTTTTACTTTCTAAACTTTTCTCACTGAATCATATTTCTTGAATAATATCTTCTAATCCTAACCTCTACGATTACTTCTAATTCCCTTACTACCTCTTCTACTATTGTATTTGAATTGACAATTATATCTGTGTGCTGATGTGGTATGGCGACATGAACTGATGTACTTACATACGAAGTTCTACGATGCATCTAACTGACTGATTCATTCCTTTGAATGTAGATAAGTCAACTATCATTATTGACTGTTCGGATGGTTGGATGCATGGAGTTTTCGAAGTGCTGGGTAGGAGGTGGTAGTCAATATTGATATTTTATCGACGACATTTCTCTCTATTCAATTTATCATATTCGTTAGTGTTGTTCTAATATATAGTCTTTGTGGTAAGTAAGTCATGAACTCTCAGTTAAGATGGATTTGAGATAGTAACTCGCATAATCTAACTAGGTAATGATTCTGCTGTTTCAAACTTCTTACAGGAGATGATGTTATCCACTGTAGAAGAATGACTGTTCATAGTTATTAATCTTATCATTGTTCTAATTTGAAACATTTTCATCAAAGTCAGACAAAAACACAGTTAGATACCGGCTCAGTGGTTCAAACAGAGGTTAGGCATTCTTGTGCAAGACCGAAGGTCCTGGGTTCGAGTCCTGTTGGTGGAACGGGTAGTCATGGATGTGCACTGCCACTGATGAGTTCCATACCAGGATGAAATGACCATCCAGTGCTTCCAGGTATCTAATGCTGGTCTAATATTGGAAAAGTAAATTAAAAATCTCCACAACCTCATAACACATTCGAAAGTAGATATGTTTAAATAAACAGATATCATAACAATGGTTTCCTATGTTGAAATCATTGAAAAGGAAAGTCATTCATTGCTATTATCAATGATTTTTGTGTATATATATACTTTGAAAACTTACAAAAAAAAGTCAAATCTCAATGGATTTTTATTATAATTAGGAATATATTTTAATTTTTTAACACTAATCTACTTTAATTGTTTAAATTAAAATGAACACAGATATTTGGACATTGATCCTACTTGATAGTGTGAAGTAATCAAATTAGCATACTTACTTAGTATACTTAGTTATATAAAATACTTATCTAACAGAATTTCTATAAACATTTTTATTTAATTTGTTTTTATCAAACATAATAATTATGTTAATTATTTAAGCAGTAGAATTGATCAAGGGATGAAAAATAATGATGATTATTGACAAATTCATTTTCCTACCTTTTAAAACTATTGTGAATCTGTGATGAAGTGTGTTGATCATAGTGAGAAATAATATTGATATGGTTTGATTAGTTCTAGTCTTTTTAGGTCTGAGGGCGAAGTCAGTGCTGCTGACTGTAGAGGGGTGTGACAGCAGTAAGGTGTTTCCCTCGGACTACCAGCATCTGCA